GGGGGCAGGGACGCGCCGGGGTTCCGAGGGACGGTTGCGCGCACGCGCCGCGGGCGGATCGGCGGTTGGACGGGGGCGCGCCGGAGTTCCCAGGGATGGTGGCGGGCACGCGCCGCGGGCGGGGGGGCAGTGTGGACGGGAACGCGCCGGGGACGAGGCTGCCCTAGATCAGGGCACCTCAGATTGTCCCCCTCAGGCGTCTGCCCCCAGCGGCCCTGCCGCCGCCCGACCTGAGGAGACAGGACGCCGCCGCTCACCCCGTTGCTGCCCAGGACGCTGTCGCCTCCTCATGGCGCTGCCCAGAGCCGCTCCCCGGTCCCTGACCTCCGCCCAGGCCCGTCCTGGACCTGGAGGACACATCACAAACTGCGCATGCTCACGACCATTACTGGCGCGCGGCCTGCTGGGAGATGTAGTCAAGCCAGGTCGTGGAAACAGGGCGGGGCGCATGTGTGCGGGGCAAAGGGGCGCCGCTGGCTGGGCGTAGAGGTTGGTCCCTATGCACCCGTCCTCTAGCAGCCTGGGCTCAGGGAGCCGGGCAGCCACAGGCAGTGAGAACACAAAGGAAGAGCCTGGCTTTCAAACCTGTTTGCTCCCACCCCCATCCCTTTGCACAAGTCCTAAGCCACCCTGCACTGCAGCAGTAACCACTGGCTCCTGCTGCCTGGCTGCCCTAGAACCACTGCTCGGAAACAGGGAGGGGGAGCTGTACACACACCCCAGGGGCCCTGGAACAATTTGTACAATGAGTGAGGGAGAGGGGTCTGAGAGCCAGTGAACCACATTTTAAGAAAGAGGTGGAAAAACTGGAGAGGGTCTAGAGAGGAGCAATAGAACTGAATAAAGGCCTGGAAAACAGCACCAATTAGGGAAGACTGAACACTTGGGTTTGTTTAGTTTGGAAAAGAGAAGATTGAGAGGGGACAAGGTTGCAGTTTTTAAGTACCTAAAAAGGGGTTACAAGGAGGAGGGAGAAAAATTATTCTCATTGACCTCTGATGATAGGAGAGGATGCAATGGGCTTAAATTGCAGCAAGGGAGATTTTAGGTTGGCCATTAATCACCTTGACAGGAAGTTTTTCCTAAACCCTGGAATAAGTTGCCTAGAGAGGTTGTGGAATCTCCCTCATTGGAGATATTTAAGAGCTGGTTAGATAGACATCTACCAGGGATTATCCAGATCTCTGATGTATAACATGCTAGCCACTAGCCACATGTGGCTATTTAACCAGGTGAATTTGGCTAATTGGCTTGATCAATGTGGCTATTTGGCCAGTTTAGTCAGGCTAAGTCGCTATAGAAGTAGCCACTGTGGCTACTGCTTCAGAACAGGTTGAACACCACAGATCTAGATGGTGCTTGGTCCTACTGTGAAGGCAGGGGAACTGGACTTGATGACCTCTGGAGGTCCCATCCAGTTCTAGTATTCTATAACCAACCTGTAACCCTGCATGTAATGGAAATCTCTTCAAGCCAGAGGGCTGCAGCACCTCCCACACCTCTAGTTTGAGAGTAAAATCTTTACACATTTATAACAAGTGGCATTCAGCTACTATTCTCTTTAATTCCTTCCCCAAATCCAAGCTTTAGTTGGACACATTCCAGCTACCATTAGAGTTACAGTGCTACTGAATTTTCTTCTCCATGTCTCTCCATCCCTGCCTCCCAAGCTGTCCTAGGAAATCGTTTAGGGTGATAAGAGGAAAAGGTCCCACCACACACATCTTGATCTTTGCAACAGAGGAAACATACATTTTAAGAGCGGGTTAGATAGACATCTATCAGGTATGGTCTAGATGGTACTGGGTCCTGCCATGAGTGCAGGGGACCGGATTCGATGACCTCTCAAGGTCCCTTCCAGTTCTAGTGTTCTATGATTCTATGAGGCTACATCTACACTACAAGGTTTTTGTGCAAAAATGTCCATTTTTGCACAAAAAAGCCTTTTTTGTGCAAAAATCCATGGAGTGTCCACACCTCAAGTGCATTTTTGTGCAAGAAAATCTATAGTCAATCGACAGATCAGAGGGCTTTTTGTGGTGTAGGTTTACCTCCTTCTATGAGGCATAACTCCTTTTTGCACTACAGCTCATGTGCAAAAAGGCATGTGTGGATGCTCCACAGGGGTTTCTTGCACAAAAAGAGCCTATCCGAAAAAGCACAGGTGCTCTGATGGCCATTCTGTGAATGGTCATCAGAGCTTTCTTGCGCAAGAGCGTATATGCAGTGTGGATGTGCTTTTGCACAAGAAGTTTTTGCGCAAGAACTCTTCCACAAAAGACTTCTTGCGCAAAAACCCTGCAGTGTAGACATAGCCTGATTGTAAAAGGGACTTCTGCCCATTTAAAGATCTGGAGCTAGCCAATCCTGGTCTCAGGCAAATCTCCCTTTTGGGAAAGAGGTGCTTGGGCCTCCAGAGACAATTATCACATCTTCCTCTGATGAGGTCAGGTACTTGCTACAGGATCAGAATGCAATTGAGAGAAGTCCCAGGTAGATGGCCTTTAGAAGGATGGGGGAATATGTAAATACAACTCTGTATTAATCATTTTCATACAACCTTGTATTGACATAACCTTGTATTATGTCTTTCCATACTACATAACTTCCATTTTCATATAACTTTGTATTAAGTTCTTCTATATAGAAACTTTTTATTAAGTTTTAGTATATTATTATAGTTATGTCTTTGTATCAGAATAGATCTCTCCCCTTTACTTAATTGATTGCCCTGTTCAATGAATGAGGTGTGAAAGGATAATGCCTGGAAGGCAAACACCTCTGAGCAGCTACAACAGTTGGAGAGGGGATGGAAGCCATATCTAAGAACAATAAGACCTGTCAAGTGGGCTCAATGAAAGAAGATCAGACATATTGAGGGCCTTGGGACTCAGAAGCAGGCACCTTCCTTTGAAAAGCACCGACTTTGAAGATGAATGTGGCAGCATTAAGACAACACCCAGAAAGTGCCACAGATGACCAATTGACACAGACACAGATTTTGCATGTACATATGATGACTAACTGGTATAGATTTGCATGAGAGGGAAACTACAGTAAATCTAAGATGTCTTGCAAGAGGACCCAGGTTCTTACTAACATCAGAGTATCTATCGGGATCAGCAGAAGCCTGGTTCCACCCCTCCCTCATCGAACTCACATGGCCAGTGAAGTTAGGGGGAGCAACAGGCTGGTAATAGGACAGAGTGTGCCTGTGTGTGTGTGAATGCATGAGTGAAATATATATCAGTTGCATATGATAGTAGTGATTGATATATGTATTACCAATAAGTGTGGTGTTTTGCCTTATCTCCTTGCAAAAGATCCTGTGCAGTTTTTTAAGCACAAATACATTGGTTTTGTGTTCAAACCCAAGATTCACAAGGAGTGTGTCCTTTTGTTTTGTTTTTAAATTCAGCGTACCTACCATATACTAGTCACTATGGACACAGGCAAGATATAATAGGCAATATATAGTAAGATATAAATACACATGCCAGATTAAGTGGATGTTAGAGCATAGAAGCATGTTACTCTAGAGCAGTGGTCTCCAACCTTTTTACACCCAAGATCACTTTTTAAATGTCAGCACAAGCCAAGATCTACCCCAACCCTTCCCCAAGACCCCACCCTTTCCTTAAGGCCCCGCCCTCTCTGTTCCCCTTCTCTCCATTACTTGCTATCCCCGGCCCTTATACACTCTCAGGGCTACACTGCCACTTTTTTTCAATCCTTCTGTTTGAAGAGATTTTTCTGACATTTGGCCCATCCTGCGACAAATGTTGGAAAACCCCTTTCTTTTGGAAGACCCCTTATTCCTCATGCAACGAGGAATACAGGGGCTGCCAAAAGAGCGTGTTTGCCTGAAAAACTCCTGCAGTCTAGCTGTACCATCACAGGGTTGAGACAGGAGGTGCGGGCTCTAAGCCTGCTAAGTGTGACTTCGCAATCTGGCTAGCACTTAATGCTGATTTTAAAAGGTAAAAGCAGGGGGAAGAGACGAGCAGTCTGTCTATGGTACTGCCACAGCGTTCTGCCTCTGCTCCAGTAAGCGGCAGCAGTTTGGTCCATCTTGAGCCAGGAAAGAGACACTTCCCAGTGTCCTTCAGACCACCACCACCAAAACCACAACCCCAGCCGGGTGTCCAGTGGCTGCAGGGTCACATGCTCAGAATGGCAGGGGAGGCGATCAAGAGCTCTTCTTTTCACCTGCTGCATTTTAAGCCTCACATTGCGCTGCAGGAAGCAGGGAGTTGGTCTTGAGCACATCCCATAGAGCATCCGAATGTGGCCAACAGAACCTGGCTATTTCCCTGTACCCAGCCATCTTGGCCACTAGCACGAATAAGACTGTAACACCTCCTGTAGGATGCGCGCATGTGTGTGAGAGAACGAATGAGTGCACATGCTGTATTTGCAATAAAAGGAAATTACTCACTTCACGCAGTAACAACTGTTCTTCAAGGTGTGTCCCCCCCATGGGTGCTCCACTGTTGGTGACAGGTTATCCCCGGAATCGCAGTTCGGAGCTTTTTCCCTAGCAGTTTACTGTCAGGCCGCACATGCGCAGGAGGCAGCTCACACCATTGGTGTTTTGACAGCTGCTTTGCGCGTGACCCAACCCTTCCCCTTCAATTCCTCGATTGTGCCCGAGTATACTTAACTCTGAGCAGACGGGAGGAAGAGAGGGGCGTGGAGCACCCACAGGGACACACACCTCAAAGAACAGTCATTACTGCATAAAGTGAGTAACTTCCTTTTCTTCTTTGGGTGATGTCTCCGTGGGTGCTTCACAGTTGGGGTGTCTAGACTACATGGCTCCGTCGACGGAGCCATGTAGATGAGTTTACTAGACATAGCAAAATGAAGTGGTGATTTAGATAATCGCCACTTCATTTACATCAAAATGGCCACCACGCTGTGCCAATCAGCTGATTGTTGGCACAGTGCTGTAGTCTAGATAGGGATCAACCGACCCCAGCACCCTTTGTCATCAGATCCTGTAAGCCTGGGCAAGTAGGATGCTCTCAGGATAACACCATGTTGGATACACCAGTTCCAAAGGTGAGTGGCCTCTGTGCAGAGGGACTGGGAGCGTGCACCCCTCTGCCTGTTTATATAAAACATAGTGATTGTACTGTCCATGAGTAAGCACACTGTGCGATTGGTAATGAGTGCTTGCAGGTGTTCCTGACAGCCCTGAATTCTAACAATTTGATGTGTAGAAATGCTTCGTGCTGTGACCATTTTCGCTGCACAGTATGGTGACTCACCCAGCCTATGAGTGAGGCATCCGTGGTGATTGCACGGATAGTTTGGGTTGACGGAAGGGACTCCTGTGCGTAAATTGCGGGGTGGGGGGGGATGTCCACAACCTGAGGGATTGGAGCACG